TACCCCAATCTTTACTGCAGAGGCAGTGAATATGTGCTGGAGACAACCAAGCCCTTAAGGGTACCCCTCAAGCAGTTATTTTTTTGTCTTTTGAGACCGAGTTTCACTCTTGTTTCCCAGGCTGTAGTGTAATGCCTTGATCTCTGCTCACTGCAACCTCTGCCTCCTGGATTCAAGTGATTCTCCTGCCTCAGCCTCCTGAGTAGCTGGGATTACAGGCATATGCCACCATGCCCAGCTAATTTTATATTTTTAGTAGAGAAGAGGTTTATCTATGTTGGTCATGCTGGTCTTAAACTCCCGACCTCAGGTGATTTACCCGCCTTGGCCTCCCAAAGTGCTGGGATTACAGGCGTGAGCCACCATGCCCGGCCCCAGTCGTTTTTGTTTTTGAAAGAAACCATCTCCATAATTTTTCACCCAGATGTCTCAAGGCAGTGGTTGTGGGGAGTCCTGGACCAGGTCTAGAAGACCTTTGGAAAGCAAAGATAGAAAAGGCAGATGGTACCCAAGAGCATTTACAGGGACTGTGAGTTGCAATCTGAGCTATTTTATGAGCTCAGGGGTCAAACTGGGGCATCAAGTTTTATCAACTTGAACTCCTTCAGTACCCTTACAGTGTTTATTGTCCATTAATCCATATACTGCTTGGTTTTTTGGCTCTAGTGACTTGTGAGCATGTGTTCATATATGTCTTGTCTTATAGTTGCAACTGAATAAATTAGTTGGCATTAATCAGATTAGCAAATATTTTGAAATCAGCTATACTAGTGTTCAAATCCCAGCTCTGCATCTACTATCAGTTTCAGAGAATTTGGCCACTAGAACCTGACTGAGTTAGGACAGAATCCTCGCTCTTCCTTTCAGTGGCTGGATGACCTCGAGCAAGTTATACACTACTTGTCATCTTCAGTTTCTCCATCTATGAAATGGAGCCAAACATATAGACTCATAAAACAGATTATCAGATTTAAAAAAGAAATGTAAGTACATATTTTAAAAAGAAATTATCAACAATCAGCTCTCAGTGATGTTAGTTTCCTGCCAGTAACTACCTAATTAGCCTGACTCGCCTTCCATTTAACCCATTACTTGTGGGTAAACAAGGAATAACTATGGCATGATGAAAAGAATAGGAGGACTGGGAGTCAGAAGAAATGGATTCAAGTCCGCACTCTGCCTCATATTAGCAACCTGCCTCAGACAAACCACTTGAGGGTTATATGAATGTCATGTGTCCTGGACAATTTAAGTAATATCTTTGAACTTAAGTTGTACAGTACACTTGCCTCGCTTCATCATTATATTTGAAAATCTACTGAAGACTAGCTTCAGTGTCTTTTTAACTTATAGCCAAGTATTTAAACACACAAAGGCACAAAAGATGATGAGACATTTAAAGAATGTTTGTCTAATGAAGGCGTTGTTCAAGATCACATTCAATACATAGTAGAACTGTTTCTAAAACAGGCTGTCTTCATGCATAAACTCATGCTATATGGGAGAAGGGGCAATAGGCCTTATATGGATAATAATTAGAATTGGAAACATTAATCTAGGCTGGTGACACTAGCAAGGATCATAGAAATCTGCTTCTAAGATGACATACTCAGGTGGTAGCTAACTGCTGGCTAAGAGTGGATTAGGAAGGTATGGTGAGCAAAGGGTTAAAAAGTAGTGGTTCCCAAATTTTGCTATATATCCAAATTACCCACAAATCCATAAAATTATCTGATCTGTGGCTCCCACATTTTGAGTTCATTGCTATGGGCTGTGCCCAGGTCATCACAGGTTTTAAAATCTCCTCCAGCAATTGAACTATATAACAAAGTTTGGCACCACTAGGTTAAAAAGTAAAATAAGACTTTCATTACCTCATTCACATTGATACCCATCCCTGATGTGTATTCCCTCTGCTACTAACCTTAAGTAGAAATCTGAGATAGGAGTACCCAAATGAAGTCTCCCCCAAAGTCTTCACATTAAGCACATTACGCCCTGGAAGACAAAGCATGAACCCTCCCAACTCCCCCTTCCAACCTCCCTTCTCTCCTTGTGACCCTCTCTTCCTCACCGGCTTTGAAGTCTGCCTTTTTTCTCTCTAGTCCCACTGCAGTTATCCTAGCAAAGACCCTTGAGCCAAGCTTGCAGGCTTAGAATACAAGCCTTTTACAGGGCTTGTCACCCCAGCGGTGTCTGGGTTCAGAACTGTAGGTTTCAGACTTCTTTTCCTTTGCACCATCCATATGAATCAATTACTTCTAGGATAATATATTCTAGGATGTATATTCTTCCAACTGCTCAACTGGTTCCTGAACTTCATCATCCTAAAGTTAGTTCACAGTGTAGGGGGAAAAAAAATTGCCAAAAGACTTGACATGGAATCTTAGTTTCACATGAACCTACCTTGGCTCCTGGGAATTATCTCTATAGGTCAAAACCCTATCTACACAGTTAAATGTAGCACGAATGCCAAGTCTCCCCAGGAAGTCTCTACTGATCTCTCTCAATCAGATGTGACTTCTCAATTTGAACCCCCATAAAATTGACTAGTGCAGCTGCAGCATAAATTAGCATGAATTCAGTTCAAGGGCATTATATTCAAGACCTCTTGGATTAATTTCCAGCCACACCCCTTACTAATTCACTTTGAGTGAATTGCTTAACTTTTCTGAGGCAAAGTTCTTTTATTTACAGAACTTTCTTCGCAGATCAGGATTAGATATACTTACGTAAACCATCTAGTCCAGTGCCTGAAACATACTAGACATGTGATAAACAATAGCTGCTGTTTCTTATGGGCCTGATCATATTTTGCCTTACAGTCTGATTATTTTAAAATTTCATTAAATACATTTTGAACAGATTTTTAATTATCTGCAGAACAGATATATTCAGTTAAGAGGCATTCATTAATAAATTTATTTAAATAAGAAAATATTTAACAGTGACCTTGTTATATTTGTCTCTCATCAGTAACATTCTCCTAGATTGTGGGAAAGGAAAAGGAGTATATATATGAACTCCACAAGACTATCATTCAAAATATACTTTTTATTTTTTTCTTTTTGAGAAGGAGACTTGCTCTGTTGCCCTGGCTGGAGTACAGTGGCACTATCTCAGCTCACTACAATACAACCTCTACCTCCCGAGGTCATGATTCTCCTGCCTCAGCCTTCCGAGGCAGGTATAATTACCAACCTATTTACCTGCAGGGATAATAACCTGCCTCAGCCTATCCCTCAGCTGGGATAATTACCAACACACCTGGCTAATTTTTGTATTTTTAGTAGAGACAGGGTTTCACCGTGTTGGCCAGCCTGGTCTCCAACTCCTGACCTCAGGTGATCTGCCCTCCTTGGCCTCCCAAAGTGCTGGGATTACAGGCGTAAGAAAAATACACTTAAATAATATAAGGCTGTATGCAGTAGGATAATACTCTACACAGATTGCTGCTAGAGTGGAAAGGATAAAACACCAAGTTGGGATGATGGAAATGAGTCTTCTCTACAGGTAGCTGTCCCCCAGCTCAGTTGACATACCGGCTGCCACCAACTCTGTCATTGCAGCCTTTTAGAGGGACACAGCCTAGGTTGGCATGGATAAAAAGAAGAACCCAGATCACATTTTGAGACACAGGGGTTATGCTCTGTCCTCCCATTACTTTAACTCAGGGATCACATTTCATATAAGAGCCAGGAAGGTAATGTAACAAACTGCTTGCCCTTACACTTTTAAAGTAACTGTGTAATATAACTTTGATAAAGGGTATGTCTACCTTGATCCATAGAGAAAGGACTTTCCCCACAGTGCCAACAACAGGAAATAAATGAACCAGTGACAGGTGTTTAAAAATTCAAGAAAAAAAATTAAAACGTCATACCCGGTAAGGAAACCGTGTGTGGGAAAGTATTTATGAAAATCAATACTAAGGGGCTATATTCTATAGACCTAGCAAAAATGACTGGTTCCAAACTAACTTACTCTCTGGTACAGTGTCTTCTTACTTGTTGCACAATCCCTGTTTTCCAGGAAGGAAGCTGACTAAATCCTTGCTTTATGGAGAGTGACATTAGAATTTAATGCTAGTCACTGATGTGTTAAGTCTTGAATCTTTATAAACTGCATAACTTTCTTTGATAAAGTTTTTGGCTCCAGCTACAGTACAAGCAACTCAGGTAATACGCAGTTGTCAGTATGTCTACAATATATTTTTCTATTTATCCAACTCAAGTGATATCTAAGAAAAAAAGGAATAGGAGGGATGATACTCTAGTTACAATATTTTATTCTACAAATGTCCACTTAGAGATCAGAATTATCTGTCTCAGAACTGGAAACACATACAAGACATAATATATAAACACAGTAGTACTTTGAAGTGTTAAATTGTCATTGAAAATGTAAAAGAATCGCCAAACTCTCAGGAAAACTTGGTGGAATGTGATGGGTGCTCAAAAACCAGTACCTCAGCTGTACTGTAATCTTAGTAAGCTCTAGAAAAATGTGGTAAAAACTAATTTAATGCATGAATCATCTTGCACACATTGGAAGGAAATAAAAATTTAGAATTTAAAAGTTATTTTCAATTCAATAGTCATATAAGCATAAAACTTAAAGCTGTATCTACAACGAATTTGATGGACTTAGAGCTATAGAAATACACATTTTAATTTTAAACCTAGTATCGTGAATGTAAATACGTGTTGATTGTGAAAAACTTTATTCTTAAAATAACCTTTTTAAAAAAAATAACCTGATTTAATCCAAAGGTACTTATCATATGCCTTAACCTCAGTGAGAAATCTGAGCTAAAGCCCTGGAATGTACAATGAGTTGTCTCCGTCTTAACAGTGGCCTCACTCCTTCGGCAAAACCCAACTACCAACTTGCTTCACTTTATTCTAACATTGAGCTGACGGACTATATATACTCAGGCCGCCAGTTGGGGGAAGCCCTTTGTGGCCAATCAGGGCTTCCGTATCTATTGCGTCACACCTCCCCCCTGGGTGTGACGTCAAAGGCAATCCCAGCGCAGACACGTGGGTTGGAGCAGCCTAGCGTTCCTGGGCAATTGCTCCCGAGATCCATCAGGCAGCAACGGTCCCACGGGTGAGGAAGTGGACAGGGGAGGGACTGACGGGGCTTCAACACGTTTAGCTCGTTTGCCCCAGAGGCGTGCGCTGTCCCTGAGTCCAAGCACTCGGAGCGGACGTTTGGGGGCCGGAGAGAGAGCTCGGGAGCTCGGGGAAACTGGCACCCCAGGCTGTGTAATAGGACCCGGGTCTTGCGTGCCCTGGTCCCCAGGCACCGCCCCTATGCTCCCAGCGCCTCTTTGCAGCCTCAATTATCCTTTCAGCGCTGTTCTCCCGCGGCTGCGTTTCCGTGGCCAGAGGAGAAAGGCTTTCTCGCCTCGCGGTTCTCACCCTCACACAGACCCTTCTTTCAGACCCGCCCTCCCGTTCACAGGGACCCATTTCGGAGCCCTGGCTCACGCTGGGCAGGAACAGGCGTGACGAATTCCGCCCAAGGTGTTGATTATCCATCCAAACCCAGCTTCTGGCTTCCCTCCCACCTCCACCCCAGCTCCCGCGGGCCACTCGCCTCCTTCCCGGGCTGAGCGCTCGAGACGGCGCCCCCAGATCTGCCACTGGGCAGTGTCCCCAGCTGCAGCTGAGGAGAGAAGCGCCGGCGTGCTCGGTGCCACGTCGGAATTGGCTCTGGGGACGTTGCAGCTGCTGAAGCGCTGCACGCGGTCCCCTAGCACGCCCTGCCCCCGGGCTGCCGGCGGACTGGCTCGGCGCGGAGAGGAGGGATGCGCGCCCTCCTTCCGCTCCCAGCTGCGAGTGCCACCGCCTGCATCAGGGACCCCGGCCCGAGTAAGACTTCCGGAGCCGAGCTGAGCCCAGGCTTACGAGCCTGACACTTTAATGGGGTGCGGGAAGTGTACAGGAGGGGAGGCCCGGGAAAGGGGGGAGTGGCCGAGAGGGGCCGGTAGCTGCGAGGAGGTAGAGAAGGACCCTCCTTCTCCAGGGTCCCAGCTAGCCGGAGCTGGAAGCCCAGATTGCTTAACTCTTTGCATTCCCAGCAAGTTTCTCACAAGTAAAACGCGCTGGGTTATTGCAGCTTTTCTCCCCACAGTGTGTGTGTGTGTGTGGGGGGAGGGGGGGGCGGGGCGGGGCGGGGGAGAAAGGAAGGGGTTGGGGTGGCTGTGCAGAATGCATTTTCCTTACACATTGGAAATTCTGTTTCCTAACTCAGGAGCCCCTCTGCTGCTCCGGAAGATGCAAAATGGAAAAGTCCATCTGGGGACGTGCCGCCTTCCCCAGGCAGAGAGGTTACCTGTGTCCCCAGAAAGGCAGCGGATTTCTGGCGAGAGCCACAGAGATGGGAAAAGAGGGCTCTCTGTTGCTAAGCCTGACAGCGACCTGAAATATTCCCTGATCTTCCGTCTTGGAAATTTTTAAAACTCCAAATTTTCCAAAAATTTCAAAACACTTATATGGATAATTTCTTCCTTCTCCCTGGCCTATTTGAGGACCTTCATCGTTCACCAAACCGCGCCAGTGTAACGTACCTTGTTCAGCTCTTGGTCATAAAGTCGTCCTCAGCCTGTCTGTGTGGTCCCGGAGGGTCGGTGGCGGGCAGTTTCCAAAATTGAGGTAATAAGAGATTAGATGAATTTGAGACGACCGGCCAAAAAAAATAAGAAATTTAAAAGCAACATTTACACAGGATAGGGAAGTCTTGAATGTTTGATTCTCCCCCACTTTAAAAAGTAATTTCACTAATATTCTCTTTATTTTTTTCGTTGCACTTCAGTCTTCTAATTCTTAAAGAAATTATGCTTTAAAAATAAATTAACTTTTTTCTTTCTTCTTTTTTTTTTTTGCTTCAGTCTTTCTCCCCCCACCCCCGATAACAGAAAATCTCTTTTTTGTCTTTAAAAAAAAAAAAAAAAAAAAAGCCTGTGGGAGGCTCAGCAGAACCCAGGAAGCGCAGAATCGGGAGAAAAGTCTTTGGCTGGGGCTGTTTCAAGTCCCTGGTTCAATGGGCTGCTCGAAGCCAGGACTGGGTAATTCTTTCCAGACGTCTTGACTTCTCCTTCCTCGCCGTTGTTGCCTTTCTGCCTCCTCCAACTTAAGGGGGTCTTAACAAGTGAGCTGGTGGGTGCTTTAATAGGGCGGCGGAGGGAGTGGGGGGGTGAGGGAAGTGGAGAGGGAGGTGTGGACTGGGGAACCCTGAGGGGAGGGAACTGGGAGCGCGGGCAAGCGGGCGGGCGGGAGGCGGGGAGGGGGAGAGGGAGAGGGAGAGAGAAATTGGCCATTCAAAGCCTTCTCTGAGCTAGAGGCCGGCTCTAAACTCCAATGAATTCAATTAACTTGATTGCTAACGTGTGTAGAGAAATGCAAGCCACATAGGGGCCACCACCTGATTCCCTGCTCTCTTCTGGCGGCGGAGGTGGGAGCCCTTGCCTTGTGGACTTCCCTGAAGCCCCGCGTTACACGTTCCCTCCGAGCGACAAACTCCTGTTGTGCTTAAGTAATTTGTTTTAAAGCCAAATGGTGCCCTTCGGCTAAGTAACGGCCCTGAGGAGGAATAGTTGGGAGGAGTGTGTGCACGTGTGTGTGTGTGTGTAAGTGTGCACGTGTGTGTGTACTAGGAGCCTTCGACTGCCGGCTAAAACTCTAAAAAGACCGCGCTGTTCCACCACTTCTTAACCCTTTCTTCCCCCCTACTCAAAAGTTTCTGAGCTGACGTCAAGTGTCAAAGCCTTTCTCCTAAAGAGGTTTCTGCCATGGGTGGTCGGAAAAAATAGAAAAATAATTATATGTGTATTTTTGCTTAACCTGGTTCCCTAACATAAAAATAAACAGCGCGCATTGAAAATAATCCAGATTGTTTTCTGGAGGGCTGATATTTAGCCATCTCTAAGGAAATGTCATAAGTGGCTTTTCTTGCAAACTTTCTAATGCAAAGTTAACGAGTAAAAATACGTATTGCGTGGAGATGGCCTTTTCTCGTCGTTTTTTACAGTCGTCCCAAGGCTGGGTAGAGTTCGTTTTTGGCTAGTACCCCCCCCCCGTCCTCCCCACTCCCCCCATCATCTGCCCCCTTTCTTTCACTTGGTCCTTGCCAACAAGCCTTCTGATGACTTAAAATGGACAGTAGGTGGCACTGTTTAGAAAAAAATGACTGAATTTACAAATTAACCCACTTGGTCTTTGGAGATTGCGCTTGAAATTGTTACAGGGTAAAACAGATTTTCTTTATTTCTTCCATTCCTTTATTTTCCATTTTCCTTTCCTTTCCTTTCTTTTTTCCTTTCCTTTTCCCTTTCCTTTCCTTTCCTCCCCTTCCAAGGATTCTCTGAAGGGTGGGCTTCTTTAGCACTCCACAGGACCTTGAAGACTGGGTTCTTAGTCCTTACCACGTATTTGGGCTATAATGAACAAGTCGACACAGAAAAGTCGAATAAACTGGAAAGGATGCTTTCAACACCTCGCACAAGGTGTAGTGTTGGGGGATGTGATTAGAGGTCAAACATTTTACTGCAATACCAGGGAGTCAGCCATCCTAGTCCCCAGGGGCCGACCTGCAAAATACTGTGTTTCCGCAACGCCTCCCCACCTCCACACACAGTGGTTACCCCTCTGGGAAGCATTACCTTGGCCTGATGACTTCCCGCTGCTCAGGGGAAACTCACTGATTTCCCCCAGCAAACCCTCTCGCTTCAGCCTTTGTTTGAACTCTGCCTTAGGTGGTTTAACTCTTCAAAAGACTGGCTTAAATTTCAGAGCACCATTTCATCCCACTTAATCAGACTCGATCTTCCTGATTCGGTAGTTTTCAAATGCTAAATTATAATTTTAAACATATTACCTAACTTCTGCTCTCTGACATATAACGTGGATTAGACTGATTTAGAGGTAGAGTGGAAATTGTGGGGTGCCAAGTGTCTAGCTGTGAGGCCCCAGGGGGACACTTAACCTTCCAGCTCTAAACTTTCATGGATATGATATGTAATACAGGAATACCTATTATTGCTTACTAGCATTTGACTGTGCCTGTGCTAATAGTTCAAGCAAGAAGCACATTTAGTAAAACTAGTTTACTTTATTATAGAAAAACTAATGTCGTTTCTTGCCTCGTACTTGTAATTCATGACCCATAAAACAAAAGTAAAATGTTCTCTGACTACAAATGGATATACAGCTACACATTTCTGTCATCCTCCCATTTCCATGCCAAAGAAAGAGTTAAGAGGACAATACAACGTGAAGCCAGAGGTAAAAGTTACTTGAAAGCCAACTTTCAAGTTTGAGAGAGACTAAGTTCAAATCCCATCTTTGCTGTTTGCTGTTTGTGAGCTCCTGGAAGCATATTTCACCTCTCTGGATCTTCATTTCCTGGTTGATAAATGGAGGAAATAGGTACAAATTGTTTAGATGATATAATGTGTTAAATTAAGAGCTTACTTAGTGCCAGCAACACTGTGCATATTTAGAAAAACATTAGTACTGAACTCTTTTCCTGCCTTTCTATTCCTTAAATTATTCTTAGTGAGCCTTAACTGTGGTTTCATTCTAGGCTCTCCTATTTGACCTATTTCAGCTTTCTACTGTGCACCCCCACCCCTTTTTTTTTAGATGGGGTCTCGCTCTTTGGCCCAGGCTGGAGTGCAGTGGTGCGATCTCAGCTCACTACAACCTCCGACCCCCAGGCTCAAGCAATTCTCCTGTCTCAACCTCCGAAGTAGCTGGAAATACAGGTGTGTACCACCATACCTGGCTAATTTATGAATTTTTAATAGAGATGAGGTTTCATTATATTTGCCAGGCTGATCTTGAACTCCTGATGTCATGATTTTCCTGCCTCGGCCTCCCAAAGTGCTGATGGGATTACAGGCATAGGCCACCACACCCGGCCAACCCCTCAGTCCTTTATTATTATTTTTTATAGACCTGGGGTCTCACTATGTTGCCCAGACTAGTCTTGAACTCCTAGGCTCAAGCAATTCTTCTTCTGCCTTCCAAAGTGCTGCAATTATAGATGTGAGCCACTTTGCCTGGCCCCTTCAGTCTTTTAGATTGACTTAGTCAGTGTCTGAATATATCCCAGACATTCACATTTAATGCAACTTCTTTTCTGGGTCTCAGGCCAAAATTACAATCACTGGTCAGTGAGTAATGATTCACAAGCACCAAACTAAGAGACATAAGATCCAGTTTCACAAGTAAGCTGTGGCACCAATCAATTGAATAACATTAGATAAACCTCAGCTTTCTTTTTTTTTTTTTTTTTTTGAGATGGAGTTTTGCTGTTGTTACCCAGGCTGGAGTGCAATGGCACAATCTCAGCTCATCGCAACCTCCGCCTCTTGGGTTCAAGCAATTCTCCTGCCTCAGCCTCCCGAGTAGCTAGGATTACAGGCGCGCACCACCATGCTCAGCTAAGTTTTGTATTTTTAGTAGAGATGGGGTTTCACCATGTTGACCAGGATGGTCTTGATCTCTTAACCTCATGATCCACCTGCCTCGGCCTCCCAAAGTGCTGGGATTACAGGCATGAACTACCGTGCCCGGTCAAACCTCAGCTTTCTATCTTATATGAGCTGTCTGGATCAGAAGATGACATCCTTTCACCCATCCCTTTCAGGTTTTGACATCCTGAAATATACCTTATAGAACTCATACCTGTTATGTTTTCACCTGTATAAGACAACAGCAAAAACAGGATAGTTTTTACTTGTGTAGATGTGAGTTAGCTGTGTATTGTTGCTGACCTCCATCCTGCAGCACAGACGTATGTTTGTATGTCTGAGAGACAAAGTATCCAGAACAAGGGTTTAGTACCTTCATAATCCTCTGTATATTCGCTACTAGAAACGTTGGTAAGAAACTCTTTACAATCTTACCTATTGAGAAACTAAAAAAAAACATTTATATATGTTTCATCTATCAATATTAACCACATTAGACATTAAATCTGACTTAAAAAGTTTTAAAATACTCGTCATTTAAAGTAATAAGTGCGTTTACATGCCAACTCAATAAAATTTTGCCAAAATAGCTATTTTTCAAAATCAAAAGTGAGAAAAGTAGCACTGTTTTCCATGTTCGCAAATCTCTTTGCTGTCTAGCTGATAGAAAACAGCTGGATTCTCCTATTTGCTTTGCATTCAATTGTTTTGATTGATGTATAAAAGAAACCTGGTGTCACATGCAAATGTAATTGGGAAATGAAAGATTATTTGTAGGCTTTTTAAGATATTCCTCCTTTATACTACATCAAAACTTGGTAAGTTGCAGTGTTGTAAATTGGCCCAGGGCTTGGCCCTCTGAAGACTTGTTGAAAATCACTGACCTGAAGTAGATTAATAGGAGACAGGGCATATACATTTATTTAATGTGTATATCCAGGGCCCTTTAGAATGAAGACCAAAAGATACAGAAGAAACTGTTTTTATGCTTAAGTTTAACAAAGAATGGGCAGCCATGTAGATATAGGATAGAACAGAAAGGGCATAATCTATTGCTAGCAGATTGGAGTTAGCTTGGTGTGCAGCAGACATCTATACTGTGTCCTTTCTATTTCTTCATACAGAATATTAAAAAGCCAAACACTCAAGGATTAAAATTTAATAAAATTAAAACTATTGGCCAGGTGCAGTGGCTCACGCCTATAATCCCAGGATTTTGGGAGGCCGAGGTGAGCCTATCACCTGAGGTTGGGAGTTTGAGACCAGCCTGAACATCATGGAGAAACCCCTTCTCTACTAACAATACAAAATTAACTGGGCGTGGTGGTGCATGCCTGTAATCCCAGCTACTGGGGAGGCTGAGGCAGAAGAATCACTTGAACCCGGAAGGCAA